TTGACGCTTTTGAAACTTCTCCCGCCCGACCAATTAGAACATCTTCATACACGCGCCAAAGTGCACGCGCTTGACGACAGGCGATTTGGCGCGAACGATCAGCTGATCGGCCAAGGCCATCGATCGCCGTAACAGCATAGGCCAGATTGCGGTTAATCCGGCGTCGAATAAGACCGCGGGGTGTATAACAGTGATACAGGAATGTGTAATGTGGATGAGATAGCAAAAGTTTTGCATAAGTGCAGTTCGCTCCACTATTTTAAGAAGTATTTAGTAATGGAGGTGTGCTCAGGGCAGCAGAGAGCGGTTTTGTGGTGATTATTGCACATTCTCTTAAAACAGGATGCGCGATAGATGATAGATGCGCGATAGATGCGCGCGTCTAGCAGCGGAGCGTATGTAGCGACACCCCGTCAAATGCCAAAGTATTATGATACTGCCGGTATTAAACACGATGCGTCACGAGAGAGGAAGCGAATGGTGCGTGTCCGTTAATTTTGAGGAGGCGCGCGCTTACAGACTGGGTGGGGAGAGGGCAGAGACACCATAGGTCAGTGCACGCATGTCTCGTGCCAAAGAGGCACCAGTTGTATAAGACATAGAAGTAATACAGTGAAATATGTAAAGGGGATTTCCAGCCATAGACCCAAATGGTACACAATCAGATCTACACGGAAAAACCAGCATAGAGGGGCTCACGCATGGAGGCAAACGACGAAAGACGAAAAATGACTAGTTACGCATTGAGGCGGCGAAGCGTGCATTGTTAACCGGCGTTGAATGAAGTTCTTAACCTTGATTTGATTTGTGGTAGGTAATTGCGAGTTCAGATAACCTATCATATGTCTAATAGCCTATGCATAACCGAGAATCGGAATGACAAGAATGGCTGTATGGCTGGGGTCTGACGAATCGCCAAGTATATGGTATTGCTCGTTGTGTACTGTTAATACGCTTTTATGGTGTCGATGGTTCATGTTGATGGTTGGACTGTCATGGGGTATTTTCCTTTCCAGCACCCCTTGACTTCCCATGCAACGGGAGCAGAGATGAGGTTAGTCAATGGACAACAATATTGCGAAGACCATTAGCGTGATGTGTGATGGAGCATACAGGGGCATATAGTTCGTGTTAGGTTCAGAGCAGCTTGAGAACACCATTTCCACTAATCACCTACAACACTACAACCCATATCGCACCAACGTACAGCGAAGCAAGCGTACAAGTTCTGCAAGATTCGTCTGTCTGTCGTCAAAAATAACGCTACCCAGATATGTGTATACATACATATTTGCATATATATATATATATATATATATATATATATATATATATATATATATATGTATGTATGTATATACATATATCATATTATCGCTACATGCTTTTACTATACTAATGGGCACATTAACATTCATATACATTTCATATTTAATGGGTGGCCATAAGCATACATAAATGTCTAAAATTATTAATTCACAGAGTTGAATGATGCTGAAATATTGAATAATGTTCAAATCATTTTACAAATGCTCAGCGAATAAAGGCAATACGCATCACTCGGCAGATTACTACCGGGGACCAACGCTGGTTATTAGGTACTGACCCCCAGCGTATCTTCAGGCCGACGCAATACCTACCCGCCTGTGAGCACGACACAAGGTTGGCATGCAGCTACATGTGGATGTCATGAAACGTGTGTTTGTTTGAAAAATATAGTATAATAGTCACACATGAAATGAGAGAGAAGCCATCACATTTGGGACGGGGAAATCAATCACGTTGTGCCTTTTGGGCTGAAAGCGTAGAAACGTGGGATCTCTACGCTTCATGGCACCTCGCCCCCTCCCCCCCCCCCCCCCTCCAAGATTGTTGAGATTTTTCGACGGCGGCGTCGGGTCGCTTCACTGGAGCGATAGGCAGAGACCGTGCGTCCCTGCCCGCGTGTCCCATAAACCCACGTGGTCCACATATGAGCTCCAGGTGGCGGGGACCAATCGGCAGAAGGGCCGTTCACACTATCGCGGAGACGCCGGCAGCGACGCCCCGCCCGTTTGCTCGCTGAAATAGCCGGCCCGGTTTTTCGCGTCATTCGCGTAAAATCCTAACTACAAGCGAGCAAACTATGGGTTATAAACGCTACACATGTCGAATAAACATAACACTATCCCAATAACACTATAAACATCAACAGCCACCTAACGGGCACTGTTCGTCCGCGGCAGGCGAGCATTTTTGCACCAACTACATTTAGAGCCAATGAGCGGCTATAAACTAGGGCTATAACTACGTCTACACTCTACGGCGCGTCGGGCAAGAATGGCAGTGTCCCAAACGACATCATAAACTGTTTACTACAGTACCGCGGCGCACATAGTCACAGTGCGGCGGTGTCGTACGGTACCGCCATAAACTACTCACTAGTCGAGTCACCGTCCCGTCCCATCAGTGCTCGTCTGCGTCATGCTCGAGGCGGCAGAGTCGGGTGACAGGCCGCCTATATTGCCCGTTGGGTGTCGTCACGTCCACAACGCGAACCCGGCCGTCTGCGCCAGGGAGCACGCGGGCCACTTGTCCCACTGGCCAGTGCCCACGTGGCACGTCATCGTCCGCCAACAGCACGAGTTCGCCGACCTTGATGTCGGCCGTGTCTCTGCGCCGCGTTGCCCTCATGGTCCGCGTGTGAAGATACTCCCGCCGCCAGCGCCGCCAGAAGTGATCTAGCAACACCTGTGTGTGCTTCCAGCGCCGTGGGCGGCACAGGTCACCATCCTCGAACACGCCAGGAGGCAGCTGAGGAGACGCCCTTCCGATGAGGAAGTGGTTTGGCGTTAGTGGCTGGTAATCGTCAGGATCCTGTTCTGACGTGCGTCAGTCACCGGCCGTTGAGGAGTGCCTCGACTTCGGTGACCACCGTCCGAAGCCTCTCGTCACCCACAACCCTGCCACCCAGCACGGTCGACAGGGCACGTTTGGCTGAGCGCACCAGACGCTTCGAACACGCCGCCGAAGTGGGGCGCGGCCGGAGGGTTGAACTTTCACTCCACTCCTTCTTGTAACAGCGTGTCAGCGATCTTGGCCTGGTTCCACTGCTCCAGCGACTGGCGCAGCTCTGTCCGGTCTGGTTCGTACTGCAGACACTGCAATGCGCAGGTCTCGTGACAGCTCGGTTAGAGCAGATAGTTCGCCATCTCTGACCGGTCGTGCCGAGAGTAGATTTTTCATAGTTGTGTGTATCACACGCGCTGGGTCGCCAAATTCCTCTTTCATCTCACGCAGGGCTGCGCCGTAGAGGTTGGCGTCACAGAGCATTCCACGTACCGCCTCTCTTGCCGGCTCGGTCAGGTGTACTTACAGATACGTCAGCCTCTCGACGTCTGTGATGTCGGCGCGGTCGTGTACCATCTCCTTAAACAGGGCGACCCATCTCGGCCATTCGAGAGCGGAACCGCTAAACTTGCCCAGCGTTATCCGCGGCAGATGGGGATTCGCCTGTCTCTCAGCACCGGTCGGGCGCTGCAGCAGAGGTGCCGGTGCAAGCGAGACATTGGCAGGCTCTGCACCGGCTGGTCGTACGTTCGGTTACAGTTGGAAAAGCCACTCCCTGGTGCGTGCGGCTGAGACGCCCGACTGCGGTTGCTCACGCAGGTGCATGGGCGGCTTAGCTGCGGCTGCCAATGGGCCTCTGACGAATAACGCAGCGTCGCCGGCGTACCGATATCCACGCTCCTCCTGCTCCAGCAGCTCCAGCTCCAGCTGGCAGTGCTCCGCTTCATCCTTCAGCTCCTGAGCTTCGAGAGCTGCCTTTGCCTCCGCCTGTCGCCGCGCCAGCTCCGCCTCTGCCTCCGCCTGTTGCCGCGTCAGCTCCGCCTCTGCCTCCGCTTGTTGCCGCGCCAGCTCCGCCTTAACCTCCGCCTGTTACCGCGCCAGCTCCGCCTTAACTGCCACCGCGCGCTGCCCCTGTTCCGCCTGGAGCTTGCTCAGCGCAGCTCGGCGGCGAGCTTTGCTGAGGCTAGAGGAGGCTGTGTTGGCACCTGCCTCACTCTGGGTGCGGTAGGACGTCCCACTTCGTTGTGATCTTGCATCACCGTCTTGTCCTGACCGGTTGTCAGGCACCACTGATTACACTGCGTTTCGTCGTCACTGAACACTGTAATCCGTTCACTAGTTCACTTACATCTGGCCCGGAGGAACAGAATGTTCATGTGAAAGAGTTCGTTGGTTTTTCGGACGACCATCGACTTGATTCGAAAACAGACGTTGAAAAGAAAGAGTCTCTATTAGCCAAAGAGTTGCAAGGTGAAGGAAAGAGGGACGTTGGAAGGGCGGCGTAGCACACTCCGAAGTCGTCGTCGTCGTCGTCGTAAGCACGAACGCGGCTCGCGTCGAGCCGCGCCGTCGGAGCCTGAACGTTGACTGATAGGCAGAGGACTGCCTGCGTCCCTGCCCGCGTGCCCCATAAACCCACGTGGCCCACATATGGGCTCCAGATAGTGGGGACCAATCGGCAGAGGGGTCGCTCACACCATCGCGAAGACGCCGCTGCCGCGCCGGCAGCGACGGCCCGTTTGCTCGTTAACAACAACGAAGCGCAACAAATAAGCTATTGCTGCGTGTGTGGATAATTATCCCTCTTATGTTACGCTAACGTTTGTCGCGAAATAGCTGAATGTTTGGTAGCATTTGTAGTGACCTACGGGGATTATGACGTAGGAGACTGCACACGCCTAGAAAAGAAAGGACCCCATGTTTTAGACGGCGTTAAGACAGATGTGTCGTCTATATGCACAATGATCTTGCTACAGGTTTGCTACAGGTTGCTTCTTGCCTGTCAAATTCCTGTGACAGAGGATGGTCAATTGTAAAGAACGGCCTCTCGGGTCAGGATGCGATCAGTCTCTGCTCGCTGGTGTTTGTCTTACGCCAAATGGTGCAGCGCTTTGTCTCTGTAATCAAAGTAGCTCGCTCCATCTCCGGAATGGAATGGTATCTCTTCTATCTCCGGGTGGTCGATAAAATGTATTGAATATTGTATTGAGTAACATGACATTTGTACGGAAGAACACACAGCCGAAACCTGTGAACAATAGGAGAAGACTGAATATGGAAAGTTTAAACATGAGGTAAAATGTTGAGTGATGCCCTACGACAGGAAAGGACTACGAACTACCGCGTGGGGATGGGAGGGGATCCCATTTATGTTATGTGGTTCCTGTTACAGGCGTATATATCACCACCTCAGATGTTAATGCTGTATCAAACAGTGCGAAACACAGTGTGCTGCATTCCTGTAAAAAATGAAACATTAAAGTATGAGTGCACGCGTCACGTTTAGCATTTTTGTTCATTTGGGATTGTTATATCAGTTGGTCTGAAATACTTGGTTGTTCTTGAGAGAAACAAATAAGCGCCAGTATAAAATACCGTGTTATATAACTGCAAACCTTGCAAGTGCGTACCATCAGCATTAAGGTTTTCTTAACCAGTATAAAGCATACATGCATATGCCGTGCACAAAATACCCGACACAAAAATATGCCAAAACAGAGCAAACACTACAAAGCCGAGCCTACACAACAAAGTCACCCAAATCTAAGGCTTGACGGGTTTCGCCTACATGCTACGCGAATATAGGGAGGAGCTGATTGCAAAGTTGGTCGGGCAGCTGGGGACTTTGGGGTCGACTGCGGAGACCATAACCTGCTAGTGCACCACAAACAGGCTGCAAGATGTCAGATGTTGCGGAACAGCGCCAGCCATCAATCGAACAGATAACACTGGACAAACACAGATCCGATGAGCCCGGTGTACTCGGTTTTGTAGTTGTAGATCAGGTGCTTGTGTTCCTCAGCGGCGCTGGGAAACCTGTGACGGTTCTTGCGCACTGCAAACAGTGGCGAGCGTTATTTCCGATCGTACGCACGTGTTTCGACGATATGGTATGGACACAAACCTAACGCGACCAAGTCCTGGTACCTATGCGGAGCGTAACCTGAGCAAGACGGCACCAATTAATGCGAACGCATTATAAAAGTAGCCCGATTCAGGAACGAGCAACTGTGATTAGGGATGTTTCCATTGATATATCTGTGTTCATATCTCCAGCGTTCATCTGATGTTTTCAATGCATTTCTGGCCCTGCAGGTTTTAAACATACGTAGAAGCAGAACTGCTCCATGATGGCATCGCGCATGTACTGCGAACACAGCAGCTTCCTGTCTGTAAAGACGACTGGAACTTCACGCATTTCAGCAACCATGCGAGCACGGGGCTTCTATTGACTGTACCTTTTCCGCTCCCCCCTCTCACAATTGTGAAAGTAATCCACGCCCAGCCCTAATGCACTCTTTACCCTCGCTGATGAAGAAGTCGGCCAGGTACTGCGAGGCCTGGATGGCCTCGGGCCAGTGGGGGATGGCGCTGATGCTGGTCTTCTCGCCCCACTCGAAGATGTTCTTCTCGGGATGGAACTGAACGCCGTAGACCGGTCGGCTGAAATCGGCAGGCTGGAGTCACTGGCCAGTGGCATGCCACTGTTCGAAGATGTTGGTCCCGCCTTCACCGGAAGTGGCGTCATTGGCCAGTGACTTTTTAATGGTCGCGGATTTTGGTCCTGTAGCCCCCTGACGTGGCGTCGCTGGTCCGCGACCCTTTATTGCTCGAGGATCCTGGTCCTGTCGACGCCTGGCGCGGCGTCGCTGGTCCGCGACCCTTTATTGCCCGAGGATCCTGGTCCTGTCGACGCCTGGCGCGGTCTCCGGTGATGTTCGTATTGATACATAGGACGGGAAGTACAGAAATGTGGCGATTGAGAGCATCATCAACCTCGCAGGTGTTTTGAAGCTATCAACCAACACAGAAATGCATGACGATAAATTTCACAATAGATTGTTCTCAACTCAGGCTTCTGGGTCGAGTATGGCGTGTACGACACGTACAAACTTCGCAGGCTCACGTTTCGTGCGATTGAGTTAATTGCTTCTCGGACTAAAAAAAAAAACAAAACGCCTTGGCCCTTTTGCCACTGGGCAAAGCGAGTGCACGTAAAATGTCCACCATCCGAGCATTTAGCCAAAGCATAGGGCGACTCAAAATAGATATGTGATTCGATTGATTTCTAGTGCATTCCAAAAGTACCCAGAAATATTGGTTTCACTCCAGTAATTCCAGAACATCTCGGCTCTGACCAATTTTTGCATTACGGCTTCAGTTATTAAGCTGTAGCCTGAAGAACGCTAATGAAATGAAATGATTAAAGTGCCATCACGTGGCACTCGTCTCATACTGGTTTCGAGCTGAGGTCCAAACTATGGGAAAGTGTTATGGGATAAGGAGAACATTCCTGGCGTTCCGAAGATTTCTTTTGAACCAAGAGCGTGTACCGCAAAAGCCGGCCAATTAAACGTAAATTTGTGTTTGGTGTATGGCCAGTGGTTTCAATTAAATCATTGTGCAGGAACGTAAAGATTTCTCTTTCATCTTGTACCAAGATTATCTGGAAAAATGGAAGAGCACAAGGTGTTGAAATCTTGAATAATTAGCCCTTGCTACCCGAATCAATCTTCTCACCAAGCGATGGAATGCAGTCAGGCTATGGGCGAGGCAGAAGGTTAGGTAGGAGGCAGCCGATGGAACTCACATCCTATGCTCAAAGGCGCTGACGAAGACCTGGCCGTCCCAGTCGCGGTTGGTTGCGATCAGTCGATAGTTTCTGGACAGTGAGGTGTTCCGATAGGTCTCTGGCGAGACGCAGTACTTGTGGAAGTTGATGGTGACGTTCTGCTCCATGAACGCCTTCAGCAGGGCCTTGCTGGTTCCGGAGAACATGCGGCTAGTGAAGCCATCTGCGGAAATGTGGCATGTATGCACCAGTCCTGACGTTATCAAAGACACGTCAATAGATCTGTTGCACACGGAGCAGTCCCAGTAATGGGAAGTGAGACTGAAGACATGCGGAGAAGTCAAAGATCCGGAGCCACATAGCCAGTGCCTTAACGGAAAGCCAGTCCCCACCCGCCATAGGTAGACAGGTAACTTAATGCTAAGTGTATGACAAACGTCAAGTGAATTATACTTTGATTTCAGAATCAGAAGCTGCACCTTTTTAGCTGTGAAGTTTGGAGATGAGCAACTGAAATCACTGTCATGCCACTCCCTTCCGTGCTTGCCATTTCCATTGCGTGCTTGCCGCATTTCTCATCAGTGACATGTTCTGTTTACAGAAGACTGGCACCGTTCGCCCACCCCAGCCTTCCAACTTGCACAGTTGACACTCCTCTCAGTCCGGAGCAGACACGAACCTGCGGTGAACTCCAGCGGTAGCGCCTGGTTCTGCGACTTGCAGCGGTCCAGCCTCCTCTCGTTCAACTCCAGGAACGTCAGCAGCTCAAAGCCCAGGCACGTCCCCCATATGGGAAAGAAGTCCTAGAGAGCGAGGCGAGTTCGAATGCTCAAGTTAGATGTTATAGATGATGCAGTGAGAGCTGAGATCGCGTGAAGTCGCTCAGCAACTTATCATAGCACAAACAAATAAGCCAGTCTTTCGGGAAACTGGTTTTTAAAAATTGCGATACGAGCAGTGTGGTCAAGACAAGACAAGAAACGCAGTCTGGGCGTCACTGGGGTTAAGCCCGTGTTACGAGTGTTGCTTCAACTACCTCGTAATAAACTCGAACATATGGCCATTGCCAGCAAGCATTACAATGCCAAGGACGCCTGCCGAACACTGAACACAGACGCACTCCAAGGGGACGCCGGTGTCCGAGAATACGGCTAGTGGGCGGGCTGCTTGCAACAGCTTCGCTGCCTAGGTCATTTTGGTCTCCTGGAAATTGCAGGTACTGATTTAGCGCCTTAAGTTTCCAGGTCCGACTTCCGACCATCTAAACTGACTGGTGCTGAGAGCGGGGGACACAGCGTTCCGACATCGAATTGCTGCTGAGAAGACTGGTGTCTCCGTCACCTTTGGCTCCTGTGCGGCCATATCCCAGAGGATGCGCGCCGCTCTGCCGTAGCCGCTGACGTCCAGCTTGGCCGAGCCGCCGGGGAAGACGAGGCCGTTCAGCCCAGCTGAATAGCTGGCGGTAGTAGGATCGGGGCTGGTTGATGCTGTCAGACAGCATCAACCAGTCATAATGTTGGTTATAGGCGACGCAGCCATCGTAAGTGACAGCGTTTGTGACTCGCACAGGGATAGTAGCGCGTTGCATTATTACTTGAAGTGGCAACGCAGAAATGTGAAAGTGAGAGTTGTAAAACGAGCGGGTGGATGGCACAAGATGTTAAAAGCAAAAAGTCTACTGAAATATGTGAAACTGTGGAGAACGTATGCCATTTTTGGTCCACTATACACGTTATCACCACAAACAGTATTGATGCTGTATTCCTCAATAGTTACAGCGGGTATTGGATGCCTATGGATAATGCCTATGGATATGAAAGCAACATCCAGGACCCACACGAAACGTCAGACCAGGACGTCATAAAACGAGCTCGAACCAAGCGCAGGCCCAGCCCAGGTATTACCGCCAGGACAGACAGCCATTTCGGCGCTTGCAAGGAATCTAAGCACACATACCGGATAGGGACGACTCTGGCTCCGGCCGCCTCCCAGTACTTGACGTAGGAGGCGGCGATGTAGCTAGTGTAGTTACCGAACGCCCTGCGGAGGCTCCTGGGCACCTCCTGGGAGAGGATGCCTGCGCAACAGCAGTGAATATTGTCAAACAAATGGTGTTGACCATACTACATGCATCAGAGCATGGTTTCGGGTTGTGTCGCGCTCCACCGTTGCTTGACAGGAGCCGCTTATATACCACTTTTTGTAGTAAAACGTGCCCGGATGGAAGCTTACCTTATTGATTATATTACCTATATTACCTTACCTTAGCTTGAGTTTACCTTATTTGATCCGGAGGTTCACGACCTGGGGGGCCTCAAGATATGACGTAAGTGAGCTGATGTTGAGCACTTCCTTTCATGGGAATGTGGTGTCTGTAGCTCTTTAATTTTTTTTAGATCTCAATGCGGTCGCATTGCCCCCCCCCCCCCCACCCGAGCGCAGAGCACTTAATCGGACCACCCGGGCGCGTGCAAAGACAGCCACAGCTATGCGACGTGTGATGAACTTGGGCCTGCCAAGACCGACAGGAGCAAGGGCAGAAATTTGGACAGCTCGCTTTTGAAATGAGCTAAGCAAACGACTCATGGTGAGAGTGTGTTCTTACCACTTAAGATAATAATGAGCACTGAATGAAAAAACTCAGTAACGCATGGTCCTGTTCAGCCGTCTATTACTATAATTATAGCCTTCAAGCTGCCTGGCTGCATATCAACGGTGAATACATTTCAGAGATGTTCAATATGTGTAAATGATGGAGCCGGACACTTCGGCGTACGCCACAGGACGTAAGCTTCTTTCAACCGGGACAGTGGGAGGCTCTTCTGTTTTATGATGTAATATAACTTCATGGTACACAAGTGCGTGTAGGTAGTCTGTTCCTTGGTATCACGTGCTGAGTGTCGTATTAGCATAGCGCCACCTGTTGACTGACTGACGTTAAGAAGAACATTTCGGTACTTCGGTACTCAACTGCCCCAAGGCAACGCAGATGGAGGTCAGTGTTTTTACCCAAGAGTTGACTGGTCATTACAATGTCAAAGCAATGATCTACCATATCACCTTTTGATGCATGCGTGCAACGACGTGCAACAGGGGCGGGGCAGGAATTACAATGACGAGCATAATGCATCTTATGAAGGCGTCTGATTAACGTACATCGGCACATGTCGGGGCGGGAGACTTTGGTCGGATATCACGTTAAGCCTTTAGTTAAGCATTTCCACATCGGCCACAGGCTTCAGTAGCGGACGGATGCGTTTTTGCTTAATCCGTGTAGGCTGAATAAACGGCTTCGTAAAGCCCCGCATCCTTGATTGCACTAAATATAAGGCCTCATAATTGCGCTTTCACATCTTCTCCCACACCTGAGCCAATCAGGAAGATATCACATGACATAATTTCGGAAAATACCTTCTTTTGATTGTGTTGAGTTATTGCTAGTTTTCGTATAAATTAAGCACAGCCGCCGCGGCTGACACAAGTACCGCCTAAGCCTATCTATATTAAGTTGCATGGGTGCCTACATATCTTTATTAGGTAAGGCGTCGTCACCATTCGCTAAACGTAGAACACAAACGGCGCTCTTACCTCACATGATCCCTCCTGAGCGTGGTATACAAAAAACATTTTTCAACATTTTGCGCGTAACAATCGTGAATTTCCGCTTTTTCAAATCACCTGAACCCTCACACGTCAAAATATGTGTAATTACAAGCATCGAGACGTCAGCATTATTAAACGGAGCGATCAGACAACTGTAAGGAAATAAATGAACCCAATTAAAATGCGTCCCATAATCAGGATCAATAAACACAGCACTTCCCAGTCCGGACCACACCTATCGACATCCACACGTGTTATCATGAGGCTCTATACGAGACCAATACGCAATAACGAGCAAAGTTTTTCTAGATCTGATATATTCTTAACCTTCCTACAAGGCGTCCGACAAAACGTTGCTTCAGAGAACTGTGCCAGCGGACGGTCAGTGCCAGCGGCGGTGATCAGGCCAGTGAGTGCCCACGTCACCCACCGATAATCGGCCGATCATTCAGCATGCTCGTCTCGGCCACGTCGACCGACATCTTGCGGCGAGAGGACGCCCACGTCAGCAGCCTCTCGCGGGTAGCTGAGCACAGCGCTGACCTCCAGCAGCAGCGCCACCAGCGCCAGCGCTCGCACAGCGCGCATCTGCGGCAACGGAAGGTTGCCGTTTAGGTGTCATGGCGGACGGCAGGGGGGCTGGACCGCCCGCAGTCCGGGCTGCGGAAGATGGCAGGTTACCGCCGGCATGTCGGCAATGCTGGTGTCTAATTACCTGCACGTTAGGGAGCCGGTTTGAAATCATTGGCAGCCATGTGTGTTCATTCATTTACTGCGTGTGGTCGACCCCGAACAGCACTCAACAACCGCGCCTACGCAAATTGTGTCCGTCTATTGTGCCTTACATACGGGTAACCATACCTACCACGTGCAACGCTTCACGTTGCTCGCATCTGCCAGTTCTGGTCGTTTTCCCGACGCAATCATCAGAGCCCCGACCTCTCTTGAATATGGTACGATTTTAAACGGTCGGAATGCATGATTTTGCCACGCGTCCATAATTACTATCGCAGACGTAGGTAAATTCCAGACCTCCAAAGGAAAATTCTGGAACATCGTTGCGTCCTGACTTCCCTTCGGCATGCGCCGTCTTGGATGGACGACTTCAAACGAATGAAATCAGATGAATCAGAACCCCGATCTCTCTTAAACATGGTACAACTTTAAGCGATCGGAGTCCGTTATCTTGGCAGGCGTCCATTATTATTTCAGACGCCGGACTAAAGACATATGCTGGAATGCCGTTGCTCGTTGCGTCTTGCCTTTCTTTCGGCATGAACCGTTTGGGGTAAATGACCTCCCAAGAGCAATTAATCACAAGCCATACGTACATGAAAACAAAGTCATCAACAAGCATCACTTGGTAGGTGGCATGGTTGCGCACAGGTAAGAGTGAATGGGCAGCATTGTCGCCTGCCCCAGAAATGATGATTGTAGACGGGGAAAGCTAAAAATACAGAGATTGAAACAGCGTTACTGGTAATCGTGGAAATGAAGTTAAGATAAATGGCCTTCAATGGTCAGATCTGGTCAAAAATGGCAAGCTTGCCCTGGCTTGTCCAGATTCTTCTATGAAAGCCTGACCTTGCAAAACTAGTCTGGACGATAGTTACACACTCCAGGACAGATAAACGTGTCTATCAAACTTGTAATTTATCCAACTCAACAAAAATGCAACCAATTCTGATCCAAAATACTTGGAAACGGAATCAGGATTCGAATCAATTGTATTTTTCGAATAAATCAGTTAGTCATTAGTTTAAACCTGTTGGCATAAATTGGTTTTACATTTTATTGTGAACCAGCAAAATAGCGTCAACACCAGGGCCAACGTCATTCCAATCAAAATATATATTGTATGGTAGTTGCGTTTCATTCCTGAGCTGTTAGATGCTTCGCGATATCTGTAGATTATTTGCACCTGTACGTGTAACTTCTGTGTCGCTCGTACAATTTCTATGATCTATTATCTGCATCTGTACGTGTAGCAAAATGTCATGCGATAACGTGCACTTGATCCTGTTCAAAAGAAATATTTATGTTTGCAAAAGCAAGAGGTGGTTTATGAACCGTCAAGTTACAGACAAATAGGTTGCATTGTAGTACAAATATGTTGCATAGCTTTGTTATTTCCTCTTTTTAGTTTGGTACCATTTCCAAACAGCTTCATCATAAGAGTTGTTTTAGTTAACTGTATCAAACTTTCTTACTTTTCATCCGTGAATCTCCCATAGCATTTATAACGTGTTGCTTTTTTAAGATGATGTAGTTTCAAAGCACCTGATTCAAACCTCGAGAATCGAATCAAATCTTATTCCAAATCGCTTTGCAAGCTAGAGGTTCGGATGCAGTTGGTTCAAGGGAACTTTGGATAATTATCGCATTGTTTCCGTATCCGAATAAAAGCTAACACATGTTTTCAGTCTAAAACCGCACTTAACGGTAATTCCTGCGATAAAGAAAAATTATTTGTCAACTTTGAGCCCATTGTCACCGACACGATCTCGAGAAACAGGCGCAACTCATGCACCGTCGAGGCCATAAACTTCAAAGTTTCACACGTGCCAAAATGACTAACTCAGGCACGTAAAATTTCAGCACTGGGCTCAAACTTGACGATAACATATCCTTTACATCCTCAGGGGAGGGGGTTGCCGAGAATATCCTCAAGGAATAAGGATTCAGAACAGCAGCAGCTACACCGGTGTCCTGGAATTGCTGACTCTGGGTGTAGACCAACATCCCATGAGGAGGAATTTTTCGCTTCTTTTCCTCACATTTCATGTGAAACATTTTACTCCTACCTGATATTGTCTAACCACACATACCAACCCATATTTCTCTTTCCGAGGTTTCAAGATGTCATCTAAAACCGAGCTCACTTGAAACAATCAAGCATAAACAAGGCTCCGCAGGACCCGGACACCTATGGCTATGTCCCGCCCTCACCTACATCTGACGATGCCTATATATGAGCAAGAGCACCAGGTACCTTCAACCCCGAGAGCCCCAGCGACTCGAGCCGTTTGCATGCATCAGTTTGGTTTGTTTACAAAATCTATCTCTCAGTCTGAAGCTGGGTGCCAATTGCAGGGTTTTCACGCATCCGCTTTTTTGGTCACACCACGCAAACGTCACACCAGCAAAGCAAAGCGTAGCATAAACAGACCAGCACAGCCAGGTAGAGAATTTTACTTCGCGCATTTCTTTTTTACGAAAAAACTTGACACCTAATTGCACAGCACCCGAAATGTAGAAGTGAAAAATTCAGGAAAATGCGTTCTAAATGAAATGTAAAGGCTAAATATCATCATTTGAGCACCTCCGTTTTCACAGATTTTTAGTTAAATGAGTTGATCGCAAAGTTGGACCAAAATACAGGGCCAATCGTAGTCATTTACTCTACTTTTGTTTTTCTTGGTCTCATACCAATGTGATACAACTTCATTTTTCCTTCCTTCCCGACAATCTTAAAGATGCCATCTATGGCTTAAAATGTTGGCTTATGTCTCTACAAGACACTCCTACTGCAAAATCGTACACATTTCATACATAGATTGGATTAATTCGCCAGCCGCCCAAGCATGTTTGATGTGCATCCAAGAGTGAGCAAGTGATAGGAATGAAGGAGACACTTTGAAGCACAGGAGTTATTTATTTTATACTGCTATTTTTTGCCTTGTTCAACCCCTAGTCAGCCGTTTTTTGGTTCGTGGCTTGGCCTAATAACGATAAATTTAGGCCATTCCAGCTTCACTACCTCACTACGTTACATTATCCTGCCGTACAAAGCTTTGGGACAGTCCTGGCGTGGCTAACACAGGAGTGTTTGGTAACGAAATTCTGTCCCTCGAAGCTGTTTTCACATGCAGATCTACTCTTACTTATTTCGCATTTTAATCGTGTGTGTTGATACATGGGCATGATTGTTGATACGTGGGCATGGCCTATATCTATATTTTGTGTGGAGTAGATGATCCTGTATGCCAGCAAACCATGCGAAGATACTGACTCTTCGTTTGGGGGGCGGGGGTGCAGAAAGAAGCCTGTCCTTCAAAAGCCAGTAAAGTTCTCCTGGAGAGTGATCAATCCGTGGATGATCAATGAAACATTTCGCTCGGTGCACCAGCCGCGTACGGCTCTTTCCATTCCAGACTCCCGAACAACCGCCGATCCGAGCTGAGTACCCGACCCCGGTTGTCATCAAGCACTCCGTCGCGTAAGTGGCGACACCTCTTGGCTGCGACTGCTAACAGCCAACCATATGCATATCAGGGAGCACCTAATTGCTGACCTTATCTGCTTTCAGTACGTTTTTTACCCCGATTTGGCCCTTTTCTGTCTTAGTCCATCGAGTTTGTTCGTAAGACAATTATGAAGCCACAAGACATGTCATTAAATGACTTGTTCCATACTCCTGATAATTGCCTTTAAATTTGTTGAAGTGGTCCCTCATGTCTGTCTTAACAAAGTGTTGCCCGTAGCTGCCTCGGTCTGCTGACTGGCAAATTACTGCCCTGTAGATATGCACTATATCTTTTAACATGGGAATACGCTAAGCTGCGCAGCCATTACAATATGAGGTGGATATTAGTTTTCAGTAAACAGTCAAGCTATCCCATTTCAAATGCGAAGGCAAACATCTCAAACTTTTGGTCATTAACATGAATACCCAAGCCTAAATGGATGCCTTTGCTGTAGCTGAAAATGCAAGCAGCAACACTGGTTTTGTGGCCATCTACAAGTTATGTTACGTTTTGAGGAGAGAGATTGTTTGTGGAGCATGCCCACGATTGGCCTTGACAGAGGCTAACCATGACAATCAGAATAAGTTGTTTAAAGTGATTTTAGGGGCTTTGGACTTATGTGTTGTCAACTTTGTCTGGCGTCAACAAGCTATTTAATCACAACACAAGTTGAAACCAGCCAAAATAAGCAATTTGCACGCTTCGCATGAGAAGGCGCAGCACCCTATTTGCTTTTGAAACAGTTGAATCTATGTGATTGGCAAAGGCGAGTTTGGTGTCCAGAAAGGATGCCAAGATCGCAAATTTGCTGGCAGCTATCCAACGGTAACCATCTAGTGCGTATAAGTGGTGAACAGGTGACGTGCCGAGGGTGAATGAGATGGTATTGCACTTAGCTGGTTTCAGTTTCAGTCCCCAGTTTTTGGACCATTCCCAGAGGCGATCCAAATCCGCCTGAAGTGTAGGAAAATCTGCTACGTTGTCGATTCGGTCACAAATTTTCACATCATCAGCGTACATAAGGCACTCACTCTCGATTTGGTCAGAAACATCAGCCAAAAAGCAGGCGGACAGCAACGGTCCCAGGATGCTGCCTTCCGGGACACCAGATCGCGCTGTAATCCAGTCAGACTGCTTGCCATTCAGTACTACACGTTGTGAACGACTGCTCAGGTACGACTCCAGCCAGCTGTACTCAAGGCCAGCGATGCAAAAAGAATAGCGAAGCTTGTGTAGCAGAAGAAGGTGATTCACGCTGGTGAATGTTAAAGAGTAATCGGTGTAAATGGCATCTGTTGGTTTACCTTTCGAGATAGATGTCCATCAGTGCTCAAGAAAACA